ATCAACGTCAAGAGATCCTGATTTTATACCGAGCACGTCATGCCACCAACCGCGCAAAATAACACAGTCAGAATTAAATGATCTTGTAAGAGATTTAGAACTTCCAAAATGTAAGGCAGAGTTACTTGGATCAAGACTGCAGCAGTGGAACTTGTTAGAAGACGATGTTTCGGTATGTGTTTTTCGTAAACCCACAAAGACTTAGAACCATTTTTCAATATGGAGAATAACTTGGTTTTCTGCAGTAACATTAACGGCTTACTGGCGGCTTTAAATATAAACTATAACCCAGAAGAATGGAGATTGTTTATAGACAGTTCAACATTGAGTTTAAAGGCAGTGTTATTGCATATTGGAAATATTTTACCATCTCTTCCTGTAGGGTTTGCAGTTCACATGAAAGAATCATATGACAATATGAAGTACCTATTGACATGCATAAAATACGATGAGCACCAATGGCATATTTGTGGCGATTTGAAAGTTGTTGCACTTTTATTTGGGCTGCAGCTAGGCTACACAAAGTTTTGCTGTTTTTTGTGTGGATGGGACAGTCGGGCAAAGGCACTTCATTACACCAGACAAAACTGGCCTGTTCGTCAATTCCTAGAGCCAGGTCAAAAAAATGTACAGCATATGCCATTAGTAGATTCGAAAAAAATTTTATTACCACCACTGCATATCAAGTTGGGCTTGTCAAGGCATTAGATAGAGATGGGTCAGATTTTCAATACCTGCGTCAGAAATTTCCAGGACTAAGTGAGGCAAAGGTTAAAGAAGGTATTTTTGTTGGGCCACAGATTCGAAATATTTTGAAAGATACACAGTTTGAAAACACTTTAACAGGTATTGAAAAAACTGCTTGGAATGATTTCCGTCTGGTGGTCACTAATTTCTTGGGAAATAGAAAAGCTGACAACTATAAAACCCTTGTCAAAAATATGCTGTCATCGTATCAAAAGATGGGCTGTAATATGCCTCTTAAGATACATTTCCTACACTCACACCTGGACTTTTTTCCTGACAATTGCGGAGCCGTAAGAGATGAGCACGGCGAACGTTTTCATCAGGATATTTCAACAATGGAAAAAAGGTACCAGGGAAAGTGGAATCCTTCCATGCTTGCAGACTATTGTTGGACTCTTGGTAGAGATGCTCCAGAAACGATCCATAAAAGAACAGCAAAAAGACAGCGCATATAGTGATTCTTATAAGTATATGAATCTTGTTACTTTTTTTAATATATCCTTAAAAATAAAAAGTTTTTTTTCTAAACCGCAACTAATTTTTTTATTTCATTGTCATTTTTGGATTCAGCGCCCCAAAATTAACAAAGAAGTGCACTTTTCCCACAAGATACAATTAAAAAACTAAAATTTGTTGTCCAGTGTTATTAACTGCTATAGATCATCCAATCTTATTTAGAATGTGTGAATACTATAGATTTAAGTCCAAGAACCATGTCTCTTTAATTGTTATGTTTTTCAGCGTTTCCTGTCATTGGGTTTCACCTGTTGGAAATAAATAAATAAATAGATAAAAACTTTGATGCGTCCATAGACTTGCTGCGAAACTTTGTAAAACCATGCGAGGGAAATTTTCTCTTAAACTAAAGCTACACCACTCTGCACTTACTGTGTTCTGTGGTTTTAGGGTGGACTCTACACTCGCTCTGATCCCTTTGATCTGCGTTTTGATATTATCAACGATTCGCTACTTGCTCATTTACATGGAAAATCCGACTCGTCAAAGGAAACCGTGCTCCGTCTACAAACATCGCATCGCTTCGAAGAATCCACCATTCGTACATATTTCCATCGAATTTCTATTGGGATACCGTCTTGATGACTCGAAAGAGTTAGCAGATGATTTCTAACGATTATATATTTTATAATTTATTGATGTTTTCACTCAGGATGGATCTTAACATCACGCCGTAACGCTGAGAACGACACCTTTTCGCAAGGCGATATAGTTCACCTCCGGTCATCAGGCTTATTGTGCACCCCGTCTCACAGATCTTAGACATATCAAATTTTGCATCAGGAACTAAACTAAAAAAGAAAATGTTGAAGAGAGTTTAAAATACATGTTCTAAATCTAAAATATTGAAACGCAAAAAGTTCAACTTGAAATTTGAGGTAGTTTTAGAACCGAAAAGCCTTCTTACAGATCCTGATCCTTGCTATATCTTTGTCATTACATGTATCCTCCGTAAAGTTTTTAATGTACCTGCATTCACCTTGTATATTCCGTACTTATGCAGACATAACGTCTTCGCTTCATGAAAATCTTACTATTTGACCTTTAGTAATAGTACAGCTTATCTTTACAGCAAGTATGCAGATCTTTTACATAATCCATTTTGCTAAAGCGGCAGCCGCTTTATGTAATAAGCCTTCGTCCATAGAAAATTCCATTCTACAGCCGTAACGATTTTCATAACATTTTTCAGCGTTAAAAAATTTAGGAAACCTTTTCTTTGCATGCTGGTGTTTTATTTTATTCCTAGCAAGTTTCTGCTCGGAAGAAGTTTTGCTATCTTAAGAACGACAAGTTTGAATACAATTTACGTTTTCGAAGGAGATGTGGATACGTTATACAAGATAGTTTATAACACATCTCAAGAAAGAAATTACCATGTTTGCAGTTTTCATATAGGGTGATCAGTAATAATACAATTAAAGCAATTCTAGATTAAATTCGTAAACGTGGGATGTCGAACGAAAACGTCATCTCTATGTTACTCAAGTGTTTTTGAGAATGAAGGATTATATTATACTGTCACGAGCAATCACGCAGCACGCCTTACACACGGCACATAGGCGCCATATTGGTCGTTAGATACCATAAACCGCATCCGCTGCTAAATGTGCACACCGTCAGCAAATAATGCAAAATCTTCGTGGAACTGGACGTTCCTGGGCCAAAAAGTAAGTACATGTTTCATTGTATTGTACTTTTATTGCGTAGCGTTTTGTTAATAAACTTTAATAATTCATTTTTTTTTGTGTTATCATTCGAGCCCCACACCGGCGATTCTGGTCTACCCAGAGCAAATTGGTCTCCCATGTCTCAACCTTCTTGCAAGAATATTTGTATTGTGATCCGTTCAGGAATGCAAAGTTCTGGTGATAAAAAAAGCAAAAGTCATGAACTTATCTGGGGGAGAACACAAGAAACATATTCACAGAGCTACTTATGAAACAGCCGATTTTACGGAAAATTTACATTTCTTTTTTTCACGTTTCATATCTTTGATAGCCTTTAGGGTGGATTTCAACACTATTGTCAATTCAACAGTCCGTTATTCTCCACCTATAGGGTAACAGTCCGTCAAGCGAATGAGCTTCAAGTTCCAATCAACAACTTTTAGGAACCAATAACTATGAAATGTTGAAAACAAAATACTGTCAAAGTATGAGATGACAGCTTGTCTGTTTTCAAAATAAACGTTTAATTAAAATGAGAAGTGAATTCGGGGGTAAATTAGAAAAATATTCACAATCCCATATGCAAGAATCGAAAAAGGAGTTTCCAGAATGGTTGCAAAGTACTTTGAAAGAGCGCCCAATACAATAAAAGACGCTTTTCACGACTCAAAGGTCCTTGATCTACCACTGACCTTGGGACGGCATTTACCTTATACCGAATTCAACGATGCTATTTACCGATTCCGTTTTTTTTTTTGCAACACTGCAGATCACTTTAAAAGCAATTGACATCCCAAACAAGATTATAATAATAGAAATAAGAAGAAAATATAACAATGTTTGGAGATATATTTTCATAAATAGGTATTTTTGATTCTGACTTATAATATCTAGACGATGAATAATAGAAGGATGCGGATACTTTTGCAAGTATCGATGTTTTAGGACCCAGAAATGCAGAATGTGCTGTTTGTTTACATTTTGGTGCGGATTTCTAGATCATAAACTGGCAAAAATTGTTTTTGATGTAACAAAAGATGATGAACCAGTTGGAATACGTTATACAGCAGACGCTCGATAACGTAAACACGGGATAATGAAAATTTGCGCTAATGTAAACACAAACTTCGTTCTATGGGATCAAACGGTACGCGCGATAACGTAAACAATGTGCACGCGCGATAACGTAAACAATGTGTACGCGCGATAACGTAAACAATGTGTACGCGCGGTAACGTAAACAATGTGTACGCGCGATAACGTAAACAATGTGTACGCACGGTAACGTAAACAATGTGTACGCGCGATAACGTAAACAATGTGTACGCGCGATAACGTAAACAATGTGTACGCACGGTAACGTAAACAATGTGTACGCGCGATAACGTAAACAATGTGTACGCGCGAGAACGTAAACAACGTGTACGCTCGATAACGTAAACAACTCTCGGCGCACGGAAACAGCGCAACGGTAAAATGCTGAAGCCTCGATGATTTATGTCAGGAGTCGGGGAGTCCCCGATTTATGATGTAGAGTGTAGGGGATTCACCTCTGCGATAAAATACGACAAACTCGGTCAGTCGTATGATCGTTTAGGATACGTTTATACGTACGTATGTATTTCATTTTTGAACTTAAGTGAATACATTGCACGCGTTAATATATTTTACGACTATGGCATCCACATCCTATAAAAAAAAGTGTTTAAAGTTGAGTGAGAAAGTGAAAATCATAGACGAAGTTTCACTAGGTGCGGGAGTGACACAGTTAGCAAAAAAATATGGAGTATCGAAAGCACACATCTTGTACCCTTATTTATAAGGAAGCCGTTTTTTTCACGACTTCATTCAACATTTCAATAGAAATCACTGATATCCAGAGAGCTTTGACAGCTTCCGTCAAATTGCATTTCTATAAGGTCTTTTCCTATCGGACCAAGGGACCGTTAAATATTAATGTTGGTGAAATTGGCACTTAGTAAATTTACTTACGGTTGGAAAATACATGTTCCGCAGAAAGCTAGTGTGTTATAAAAACAAAATCATGGATAGACACATCAAACGCTGTCGAACTTACAATTTGTGCTTTGAGATCCTTGGAGCAGATCGGTCCCAGCCACTGGTGGATGTTGATGAACCGTTTCGGCACCATCTTCAGGCACGTGGTCGTCTGCCGATAGTCGAATTGGTCCAATATTGCGGCCGCGGGCGCCTGTATCGGCGATCCGCTTTCTTGCAATACGACCATGGTGCTAGACTGCAGCGTGATGGCACCGTTCAAGCGAATCTACGCGCGCACATGTCACTATTTTTAATGTCAACGTTTTTTCTCTATTAACTTATATCACATCCAAGCTAGCAATAGATATATATTTGTTGTATCACGATATGCTCTTGTTAAATATATAAATAAAGCTCTTCATATATTATATTTTTTGGTCCTTGTACTATATGTGGGATTTAAACTTATATCACAACTGAAAGTTTGTCAGGATCACATACACTTACGCGCACTAGACAGACGAACGAAAAAAATAAATAGATCTTTGGTGTCGTCTCTTGATTATAGAAAGGCACTGACGAGGAAACACTATATCTCTGCTGATAGGGTTGGAGGGTATATATATATATATATATATATATTTTTCTGTTTATATTTTCTGGTATATCACAGCTCGGGAAATAGTACGATCTAGAAAAAAAAAGAACAACTATGGAGTTTGATCGTCGCACCATTCCAAAATGACTGGCCGGCAACTTCAAACATTTCTGCTACTTTTTACCATACCAAATCAGCCAAAATTCGAAGGGTTAGTCCTTGCCGTATTCCAGGATTATTTTAACCCTTTTTCAAAATACTACATCGTTTCAAAGCATGACGATGAAAGTCGATGTGAAATGCGACAGCATATTAGCAAGTTAAGGCCTGATATGGTGATATCCATGTAAAAGAATGCACCCATTTAGGTCGCTAGCGACGGAAAGATCGATGCTTCGGCTGATTTAGATAGAAAGAATAAGTAATTAATTAATTAAATTTTGAGAGAACACCTATCGCCTAACACGTGGTTGAAAAAAATCACTACTATTATACATTCAAAATAGTAGAACTATTAAGCCGAAATCAGCATCATTATCGAAATGACATGCCTAAAACGAGACTAGTTTTCGGTACATGTCACCTAAATATATTTGTTTTCAATGGATAGTACCATATGAGGTCACAACTAGTTAATAGACAGTATTGGCAATCACAAATATCCCATGCGTTCGCATTTTTAACATTTATGGATATGGTTTCGTTGTATTATATACTAAGTGACATATAAATCCGAACACCCAGTTTAAATGGTTTTATTTTAATAAAATTTTACTTAATGAAGCATAATAAGTAAATGATAAAAATTTCAAAATGATTGCACTGCTTTAAAGCCCTTTGACCTTTAATAATGTGTGGATGCACCCTGATATGCTACGCATTCTCCAACGCGCCTAGGCATGCTTCTGATCAGGTGGTCAATGTCCTCCTGTGGTATCTCATTCCAGGCAACCAGCAACTCCTCTCGAAGTGCTTCTAGAGTCTGAGGAGGACGTTACAAATTGAGCAATCTCCTAAGTTGGATCTGCCAGGGTGTCAAGATAGGGTAAGAGATAGGGTTCTAGAACTTCGTGGATATAACGCTGCGCGTTCATGTTACCTCTGATGAAGATTAAAGGTGACCTGGAACCATAAGCTATAGCACCCCAAACCATAACTCCAACAGTGTGATGAACATGTCTTTCAACAAAAAACTGTGGATTCCTCCTTTCACCACGTCGCCTTCTAACCCTGGCACGACCATCGTGCATGCCTAAACAAAATCGAGACTCGACACTAAAGACAATACTGTTCCATTCCTGATCCCAGAGTGACCGTTGTCTGCACCACTCAAGGCGATTACGTCGGTGTTCTCGAGTTAAAGGGAGGAGACCCAGTGTGGCCGGTATGAAAACAAGCCAAAACTTCTCATTCGTCGGTAAACACTTCGCATGCCAATAGGTCTTCCGTGTTCTGCAAACCATTCATTTGCAATGGACCTGGTAGTGGAGAAACGGTCCCTTAAGGCCAATAATCTTAGGCGGCGATCTTCACGGTCTGTTGTTCTACGGCGGCGTCCAGTGCCCCTTGCTCTTTACGTACGGCCTTCTCGAAGCCATGCCTGACAACACCTAACCACAGTGTCTACACTTCTTTGCACTCTAACTGCAATTGCCCGAAAAGAAAGTCCAGCTTCCCGAAGTCCCACTATACGGCCCCTATCAAACTCACTAAGTTGACAAAATCGTACAGGTCTCCGTACTCTAGGCATCGTAACCGATCGTAAAGGATGACAAGAACCAAAATCTGCCAACGTTGATTCTTTACTGCGGCTGAAATATTCATTTTTAGAGCGTTAGTGAATTAAAAAAAAGCAGTATAAAAACTGGAATGTCCAACTGATAAGGCTGAAAATTTCACTTGTTATTTACATTCACCAACTTTTATTAAAATAAAACCATTTAAACTGGGTGTGCGGATTTATATGTCACTTAGTATATTTTGTAGTTCATTAGCGTTTAAGATTAGCCAATCATTTTGGAACTTAAACTGACCCACTTTCACACCGCACAGTCATGCTTTCCACTCTCAAACGGTTCATACCACCCTGCATACGTCAGACTTATACCTATCTTCGCTGAAAAGAACAAAGAATATTCACCTCCCGCTCCTCACGCCTTCGACTGTTTGTGGACGCTATTATTTCCTCTCGGATGGCTCTATCTGCGGCGTCACAGTTGAACGGTTCGCAAATCGGGCGAGCGGTAAAGTATCCGGAAACGGCAGGTCCCGGACTGCTAATAGGGATATTCCTTCATGGTTAAAAATACGTATATCACCTATAGGCAGCTGGATTTGCACAAGAAAAATCCACGCGCGATCTCGGTCCACGGAAGCGGAACCGTAAGAATCGGAAGTGGATCGGGAGACAAAGGGGATATTTTTTTGGGTCAAGTCAATATGTCAGTCGTTATAAGTTATTCTAAGACAAACCATTATTCTGCACCAATAGGGTACGAGTACCAAACAGTCCCTTAAATATACTCAATCAGCCTCAAGATCTCTCCGTCAAATTTTTGGCAGCAAATAGCATCAAAGTATTCAAAACAAAACACTGTAAAATATGAAATGACAGCTTACCATTGAAATCTTTTCAGTTTATTAAATATTATGAAATTATGTAAAACTGAGCCAAAATTTTTAAAAATGCTTGATGTCTGAGTAAAATCTATTTTTTCAAATTAGCTGAAGGTTTTTTCATGTTTACTGCAACTTTTGTAATCCATATGTGATTATATCACCTACTGTGTGCTTATAGTTTATCCTACATTTGCAAACTTGAACTTCCAAACCCTTACATGAAAAAGCCTTTTCACTCAAATTTTTGTTAGGTGTTGCATTTCAACACATTCATACACTTCTTTCCAGTTCCTCAACGACATTTTGACACCACTGGTCCGAAACTATTCAACAGTTTCAACATTCATACATACAATTGCAGTTGCAGTTTTTTGTTTTAATTTCAGTGTATAATCAGTCGCACCATCGGTGATGGTACATTCAACATAACCACGTATTTAGGGGTTCGTGCAGATTTAACGTGTACACGACAGTGTAATATGCATTTCTTCACAAACAAATCTTGGAGGGAGCACTTTTATACGGAAATTTGTTGTTAAAAATTCCATTTTTCACACAAAATAAAACAAGTGATCACAACACATAGAATACAGTGACGTACAGAATGAAGAAAAGACTACAGTGCTCAGTGGCCACTCAGTGGTCCAGTGTTGTGCTTGAAACATCACTAGCTTATTGAATATTAAGAAATTACATTCAGTCAAAATTTAAAGAAATGTTTGATTTTTGAATATGAACGGATATGCATAGAATTTAGAATATAAATTCATATTTCAAATTTCAGATTGTCTATGCATGGATTTGAACAGAACTTTTCGGTATTTTTACCGAAAAGAGAATATTTACCGATAACATAATAATAATAATAATAATAATAACGTCTTTATTGGATAATCCGGAGGGACATAAACAGCGAAGTTTGGCCAAGGCTACTCTTACACTTAACTGTTTATGTCGGTTACATCTGATGTTCAAAACATGGAAAAACAAATATAAGAACAATGAAAAAAAGAACACATATATACCTAAGTATAAAATACAAATAGACACAATCTATATCTGCAGCAGAAATGCTTATTTGATCAATAGCGAGCGACATGCTTTTAGTATGTTTACGAAGACTTTCCAAAGACATCAATTTAATACTGTTGTCCAACTGATTATAAAATAGTGCTGCATTATATGTAAATCCTCGTTGGAATAATGAAGAAGTGTGTGGTGTGGTTCTGATACTATAACGATTCCTAACAGCCCTGTCATGCACTTCGTAATTAAATCTTAACTTAGCTCTTAGATATTCAGGCTTTGATGACAATATTATTTTATGAACTAAAACCTAAGAATTTATGTTTAACCAAATTTCCTAACCTAAGCCAGTTCAATTCCCTATATTTATCACTTACGTGATCGTATTTACGCAACCCATTAATAAAGCGAACACAGTTATTTTGGATGATTTGAAGACGATTTTTGGTCAATTGATCCAAACATGGATAATAAACGACATCACAGTAACTGGGCATTGACATCACCAAAGATTCGCAGTTTTTTTCTCAGCTTAAAGTTAAGCAAGTAGCGATTGGAATAAAGAGCCCTAGAACACAGGTAAGTTTTTTTCATCAAATTAGCTATTTGGCTGCGAAACTTTAATTTTGTGTCAATTTCCACTCCTAGTACCTTAGCTGTTTGAGTATGCTGTAATGTTATGCCATCAATAGTCAGATGGAAAGAATCTTCGACAGTTTTCCTCTTCTGATCAGAACAAAACAATAACACTTGTGTCTTATCTGGATTAATGGCAAGATTATGTTCCATAGAAAACTGATGTACCTTATCTAAATCAAGCTGTAAAATGTCTGATGAATTTTGCGTATCTGAGGCGTCGAAATGGAATATTATTTGAGTATCGTCAGCAAATGTTTGTATCCCCGAATTGTCAACTGCTTTATGCAGGTCACACGTGTAAATCAAAAAGAGCACAGGTCCCAAAAATGAGCCTTGCGGAACTCCTGACGGAATACTCGTAATATTGGATTGATCGTTATTGATTGCGCCACATTGCGCGCGACCGGACAAATAGCTACGGAAAAAAACTGACAGCAGCATCATCGAAGCCTATATACCTCAGCTTGGCGCACAAAAGTTTATGATTTATTCGATCGATCGATCGTTCTCCATGATTTTTCAAAACAATTTAAATATTTCTATACTTGCTGAAAAAGATATGAAACCAAAAATATTAATATTTAAGTAAACTGAGAGGTGAGTTCGGGGGTAAATTAGAAAAATATTCACAATCCCATAAGCAAGAATCGAAAAGGGAGTTTGCAAAGTACTTTGAAAGAGCCACCAAGCATAGAACAGTGCTTAGAAGAAATGACGCTTGCATTAAAAAATGATTGGCTCATCGTACGACTATTGGCAAAGTTGGTTCAAGGACTGCTTTTGGCGCATGAAGAAGTGCATTGAATGTT